CTGTACAATTTCGCAAATTCTCACTCAAAAAAAATTATGTTATGTACATAAAGTCTTGCATACAGCAACATTTTGTTTGCCACTTAAAGCAGATACCAAGCAAGTTTATATTATTATTGTGGCATTAAAAGCATTTTACGAGATGAATTGTTTACTTGAAAATTTTGACATGCAGGGATTCAATTTATTGTTTGAGCACTGGGAGACTCAAAGCAAGAGATAGAGTTAAACTAAAAAAGCCAAAGAGAATCTACATATGCACACATAAAAAGTAACTTTGTTTGCAAATTTTATGACATTTCGTGTGTTTACATTTACTTTTTCATGTGTGCATTAAAATCAGCACACATTGAAACACTCAAAAGTTATTTTTTTCGTGTGTGCTGAAAGTGGAAAATATAACTTTTTTGTTGTGTCAATAATGTATGACGAGTTGAATGTTTTTAATGGCGGAAAATTAAACAACGCACAACATTAAGGTACGATGTGCGGGAGAATGATGCACATTGGTAATATTGTTTCGAGGGTCTATAAAATTATCTGGAAGATGGTTTAGTGCTAAGTGAAATTTTTTTTGAATATCGAGCTAGACAAGCTTTGAATGTCGAGCGAGACAAGCTTTAAATGTCGAGATAGACTTATTTTGAATGTCAAGCAAGACTTATTTTGAATGTCGAGCTAGACAAGCTTTGAATGTCGAGCTAGACAAGCTTTGAATGTCGAGCGAGACTAACTTAGAAGGTCGAGCTAGACAAGCTTTGAAGGTCGAGCGAGACAAACTTTGAATGTCGAGCTAGAAAAGCTTTGAATATCGAGCGAGACTAACTTAGAAGATCGAGCGAGAGAAGCTTTGAATGTCAAGCGAGACAAGCCTTGAATGTCGAGCTAGACAAGCTTTGAATGTCGAGCTTGACAAGTTTTGAGTGTCTAGCTAGACAAGCTTTGAATGTCGAGCTAGACAAGCTTTGAATGTCGAGCTAGACTATTTTTGAATATCGAGCTAGACAAGCTTTTAATGTCGAGCAAGCCAAGCTTTGAATGTCGAGCGAGACAAGCTTTGAATGTCGAGCTAGACAAGCTTTGAAGGTCGAGCGAGACAAAATTTGAATGTCGAGCTAGAAAAGCTTTGAATATCGAGCGAGACTAACTTAGAAGATCGAGCGAGAGAAGCTTTGAATGTCGAGCGAGACAAGCCTTGAATGTCGAGCTAGACAAGCTTTGAATGTCGAGCTTGACAAGTTTTGAGTGTCGAGCTTGACAAGTTTTGAGTGTCGAGCTAGACAAGCTTTGAGTGTCGAGCTAGACAAGCTTTGAATGTCGAGCTAGACAAGCTTTTAATGTCGAGCAAGACAAGCTTTGAATGTCGAGCGAGACAAGCTTTTAATGTTGAGCAAGACAAGCTTTGAATGTCGAGCGAGACAAGCTTTGAATGTCGAGTGAGACAATTTTTTAATGTCGAGCGAGACAAGCTTTAAATTTCAAGCAAGATTGCTATCTTAAAAACCCAATCAGAGCATATTTAAAGAAGTAAAATGAAGCTCTATTTAAAAAATCTCAGATATAATCTTAAACTAATCTTCAAGCTACAAAAAAAACGAAGCATGTAGCATGTATCATGCAATTTCAGCATTCGAATGAACTTATCTATTGTAATCAGTTTCTTTATGTGAATCTACGTTAGATTTGAAAAAATATTACTGCACTAAATTATATGAAATGAAGGAACTATAACAAGAAAGCAAGCAAAGCAATGTGAAAATAAATAGAAATGAACAATGCAAAATTTACTTCTGAAGATAAAAAGAAAATGAAACGTGCAGAAGAAAAATAAAGGAAGGAAGAACATTATTGAATTCACTTTTTTTCCTCCTCCAAACTCTTGAATGAACATTTTAATATTAAAAAAATGTATAAAAATAGAAAGTCTGAAAAAAAAAATCTTTCTTATGATTCTTGTGCATATTCAGTATCATACACGACGACGTATGAGAAATGGAAATATTTTTGTTAAAAAAAAGAAAATAAATTATTTGTCTGATAGGAAAAGTGAGCGAGTGAGAAGATATAAGGGATAATTTTTCAATGCAAACAGAATAAAAATAGAGAATATGAGAAAGATTTGAAAGGCATTAATATGCATCACATATTATGAAGTCGTAGATGCAGAAGAACAAGAAGAGGTAGAATAAATGATATATGATTATGTTGTATGTAAACAAACAAAGGATTTATTTTCAATGTCTTGAGCAGTGATTGTAGTTTTTTATTTTGGGATGTTAAATATTGGATTCTATTAATCTTGATTGTTTTTATGAAAATTAACTTAGGGGCTGTTCACTTATTACGTAACGCGAAAAAATGACTTCTTAGACCCCCCCCCCTCGTAACAAAATTTGTATGAAAAAAAAATTTCCTTGTTTGAATCGTAACAAAATCTTAGACCCCCCCTCCCCCTAAAAGCGTTACGTAATAAGTGAATGGCCCCTTAACTAGACTTATCAAAAGTCTAGGGGTGTTATAATATGCACGATCGAAAATTTCAAATTTTCAAAAAACGTTGACATTTTTTACAAGGAACATGTAAAAACCTGATTTTACCTGATTTACAAGGAATTTTCCAATCCATTATTAAGCATTTAACTTTGTTATGACAAAAAAATCATTAATCAACAATCAGAATTGGTAAATTTACACGCAATCATGAATCATTTAAGATTTTGACTTTTCGAATTCGACTTTTCGGGTGTAAAATTTCGAATTTTGTATGGCAGACAGACAAATAATCAATTTTTACAAATTTTTCTTGGAACTTGTAACGGTCATAATTCTTGAAAAGAACATTTCAGAAAATAAAAACAAACAGTCTTTAAAAATATCACTTTCGCCCCCTTCCCCACCTTCCTTAACAGCTATCATCTCAAACATGTTTAAGCAATGAAAATAATGGTACCGTTCACTTATAACGTCCAAGTGGAAGAGGAGGGGTCAGCAACAAGAGAACAACAGAAATTCCTAGAAATCCATTTTCTCTTTTTTGAAAATTGACCGTTAATTTCTGACGTCATAAGTGAACGAACCCTAAAAGCATTTAAATGGATCCGTAAATTGAATGAACTATGATTAAATAGAGAAAAAAAAACATTTTGCATACAAAATGCAGTCCATTAAACTTTCTTTGTAACCTTTTTGTTACCTTTCATAAATATGAAAAGTTTATGCTCTACTTTTCCTCTTACAAAGAATCTTTCAAATCATTTTCCATACAAAATATAAACTCCATATTTTCTCATTTTAAAAATTTAATTACTTGAGTTTGAAGTTTTTCCCCTTTTTCTACAATTATGATTGTGATGATGATGATGATGATGCAGATATTGCATATGTGAGTTTTTCTTGAATAAAGTAAATTTTGCTACAAATTGCTACGAATAATCAATCATCGAGAGCTCTTTTCTGTGATTTTTGCCTTGAAAGTTCTCATCTAGTTGAAGGTTGGCTTTAAGATTTGTAGATATGGCTCGAAGTGCATATCTGTAGTAGATAGGCCTGAGCATAGGGCTCGCGTTGAATCTGGTTATATGTGTATGACGGATAGTCGAAGTGAGGTAAGTACCTCTGTAGCCGAATGGCAGGGATCTCTGATCTAGTGGCAATAGATCGCTTCTTGTGAGGTCGTGGGTTCGATTCTCATCGAACCCGAGTTGTTTTACATTAGTATATACATTTGGCAGTTTTAGGGAGATCTACAAGATTCAAATTGATTAGCATATGTTAAGCTTGAATACATTTTATTAGCGCTAATCTAATTTGAATTTAAATTGCATCTAAAGTTCTTTATTTTCTGTTGTAGTTTCAATCCCAGCAACTCCACTTGATTTTCTGTAGCTTCAAATAATTCCAATTAAAAATATTTGACATCTTAATTGATTCTTAAATGCGTTTAACAATGAATAGCTTGAAAGTCAATAAAATTGGAATTTCTGATCATTTTTTAACAATTCATTAAAGGAAAGTTTCTATAACAATGTGACTTGACTTTAATTCAATTCAATTGAAAACTTGTTGAATAATAAAACTTAAAATTGCTCACGATTGTTTTCTTACGGTAATATTTTATTATTTACACATCTGTCAACTTATTTCCCATCGAAAATTTCTCATATGTTTTTTTTTTTTAAATTTTGAGCCTTAGATGCAATTTTTAATAATTTAAATATTTAATTGAAATATCAATAGCAGCAATATGACATGGATGTCAAGAAGTAATTGTTTCAATAAAAAAATATTAGTTATTCAAAAAAATAATCAATAATCATTTTAATTTATTCTCTAATGTTCAAAAGGACGGCTTTTGAGGTCAAATTTGGTTTCCGCATGTAAACAGCTCATTTTCCTCAAGTAGATCATAAATTTCCAATTCAAGTCATATCTCTAATCAAAAACATAGATCTTGAAGCACACAAACCAAAATCTAAGATCTAGTAAGTTATAAGGCATGTCCTTGAACCATAAACGTAGATCCAGGAGAGAAAATCCTGAACCAAAGTTAACAATAAATTTATAATTCGTTCCCTAGGCACTATTGTCCACAAAAACTCAAAACAATCCCAAAAAGCACAAATCGGTTAATCGAAAAAAAATCCGGCACGAAGCTAGCATAACTTTAGCGTGGTCCTAAATTCAATTTTAACATCACCATGCCAGAGTCACACCAGCCATTGGTGCCAAATTTCTATTCGATTAACCGATATTTAGGAATATATTCAATTCCAGCCTTTGTGATGTCTAACCATCTCTAAGGCAAAGTTTCAAGTCATCAAATTGCTACCTTTTGTCTTTTACTGATTGGAGAGTCTTAATCGGATGCACTTTCAATATTCTTGTTAAACGTTCGTATTTTCTTCGGCTTTAAAGTTTTCTTAAACAAATTTGATTAAATGAACTTTTTTTTCTTGTTCTATTGCAGTTTTGTCTTAAACTTCAAAGTGAACAGCAGCAAAATGGAAAGCCTTACAAAAAGTGTTGTTTCGATTTCAGAAAATGTTTTAAAACTTCTAAACTTAAAGTTGGTAAAAAAGTCGAGTGATGGAAGTTGCATTGCTTTTGAAGACTTTTTTCCAAGTGATAAAATAGCGAATTTACTTGGATATACATTTTTACCCAACCGTGGAACTAAAACAAGAAGATTTGCTAGATTTTTCAGCGATTTAGCTCAAATTTCATTCATCTTAACTATGTTTTTATTTATTTATTCTCTAATTTTATCATTTCAAAGTAAAACAATCGATCGAATGATTGAAAATATTTTATTTACGGGAGTGAATAGTGTTATAATAGTTAAAACCTTCTTAATATTCAATAAGAACTTACCAAAAATCGAGGAAAATCTGAGACTTTTAGAAAAACATTTTCCAAACTCGAAAGCTAATCAAGCAACTTATAAAGTCAACGATTACCTTCAAGGAATGAATAGATTCTGTAAATTTTATCAAGCGCTATTTCATGCAGTCACTCTGCATTTTATCTTCATGCCAATTATATATCAAATCTATGGAGCTTTATTGTCAGTGGATACAGAATGGAAGCACATTTTCTCATTAGATCTACCATTTAATCAGCTTCAGTCAGTTGTCTATGAATTAATTTACATTATAGAAGCTTGGCAAATTGTCACAGCAATACAGTTCATTGTATCGACTGACTTATTGTTTATTAATCTTTTTCAAATCACTGCTATGGAGTTGAGTATTCTGGGAGAGAAATTAAGTGAAATCGGCCTGATCAAAAATGAAGCAGAAGCCATTAAGGAAATGAGAAATCTTGTGGACGTCCATAAACAATTGATCGAAGTCTCAGAAAACGTTAGTGACTTATTTGCTCCATTAATGCTCTGCAATTCGTTTTGTTCAATTACATCCTTATGTACAGCTAGTTTTTTAGTTGTGGTTGGTCAAGCTGAATTTTTTTAATGTTACAAAAAAAATTTACATATTTTTATTTCCAGTCAGGAATAAGCAGCTACTTTATTGCAAAATTTATCCTACTTCCAATGGGTTTTATTGCTCAAATATTTCTTCACTGCTATTATTCACAGCTTTTGATTGAGTAAGTAACGAAAACTGGTGAAGCCAATAACTAGTAGCTAGGAGCTAGGAGCTATGAACTATGAGCTGGAGCTAGGAGCTAGAAGCTAGGAGCCAGGAGCTAGGAGCTAGGAGCTAGGAGCTAGAAGCTAGGAACTAGGAGCTAGGAGCTAGGAGCTAGGAACTAGGAGCCAGGAGCTAGGAGCTAGGAGCTAGAAGCTAGGAGCTAGAAGCTGGGAGCTAGAAGCTAGGAGCTAGAAGCTGGGAGCTATGAGCTATGAGCTGGAGCTAGGAGCTAGGAGCTAGAAGCTAGGAGCTAGGAGCTAGGAATTAAGAATATTTTTATCACAATAAGTTGTTTTCTCCTTACTTTATTTTAAAAATTGACAAAAATTACATCAATTTCAATTTTTCTTTAAAATAGCTCATCAACGTCGATTTCTACATCAGCTTATAGCATTGATTGGTACTCGAGGAGTATCAAATTTCAGAAACTCATTATTCAAATCATGGTGCGAGCTCAGAAGCCTCAAACTGTTAATGCATGGATGTTTTTTGATATGTCACTAGAAACATTCAGCTGGGTTGGTTAAACATTTAAATTCTATTTTAGAAAGAAAATGATTATTTTTTTTATTCCTTTCAGATTATGAACAGCTCTTATTCTTATTTTTCTATATTGCAAGCTTTGTATGGTTCTTAAATGTCATAAATGATGTAAATGAAAAAACTGTTTTTTAAATGAATACTTTTAAAACAAGCAGCACCATGACATGAGTGCATCACCCCCATAAACAAGCAAAACTTTTAAATGTAAACAATAAATTAATATATTGAAACTTTTGAGTGCAAAAGCATATATTTTTTCATGTTCGACACTCCTTCATACAGCGAGCACAAAGTTTCTCCATTCAAATTAATAAATAAATTATTAAACAAGCAGAGAAAATAGTAATAAACCAACGCGAGTTGAAGTTCGTTGTTGAAAGTCTTGAAAAAAGTTTATTTTAAACACTTACTGCTGTTATTTCCGGAGTTTTACTTTATTCTTGATAGCTGTTGCGTGGTTACATTTCTGTAATAACTAAATTGCTCCAGCGATGCACAAAAGTAGAAAATAGAAAATTTACTCAACGAAAGCAGAAAAGTTTTTGGTGCTTTATTTTTGGAATGGTTAACGTCACAAAAATATTTTGCTTATCAAGTTGTCTTCTTTAATTTACCCTAAAGCTTGCGCTTTTCACTTCAAGGTGTTAGCTTATTTTTGCATAAAACTGAATTAATTTCAAATTCAGTTCAATTTAGTTCCATCCAGTTCAACTTAATTCAATGCAGTTCAATTCAATTCATCTCAGTTTCATTTAGTTCAATTTTTGTAGACTTGAACTGAATTGAACTGAACTGAATTGAATTGAACTGAATTGAACTGAACTGAATTGAACTGAATTGAACTGAACTGAATTGAACTGAATTGAACTGAATTGAACTGAATTGAACTGAATTGAACTGAATTAAACTGAACTGAATTGAACTGATGAATTGATTTGAATTGAACTGAATTGAACTGAATTGAACTGAATTGAACTGAATTGAACTGAATTTAAACTGAATTGAACTGATTTGAACTAAATTGATTTGAATTGAACTTAGTTGAAATGAATTGAACTGAACTGAATTGAACGGAACTGAGTTTGAACTGAATTGAACTGAATTTGAACTGAGTTTGAACTGAATTGAAATAAATTTGAACTGAATTGGACTGATTTGAACTGAATTGAACTAAATTGAAATAAATTTGAACTGAATTGAACTGAAATGAACTGAATTGAACTGAATTGAACTGATTTGAACTGAATTGAAATAAATTTGAACTGAATTGAACTAAATTGAACTGAATTGAACTGAATTGATCTGAATTGAACTGAATTGAACTGAATTGAATTGAATTGAACTGAATTGAACTGAACTGAACTGAGTTGAACTGAGTTGAACTGAATTGAATTAACATAACTTAATTCAATTTAATCAATTTTAATTCAGTTCAATTAAATTCTGTTCAATTCAGTCCAGTTCAGTTCAGTTAACATGGAACTTAAAATGCGCTCAAATGACAATGTACAATTACTGACAAAGCTCTTCTCAAATTTCCTAAAATCATAAACTAAGTTTTGTTATTTGAAGTGGGATATAAAATAATTCATTTGAAAGACCGAGAAGGAAGTCTTGCTTGCTGTTATTTTTGTTGTCTCACCGAAACTTTCTTCTCATGACAAAAAGAAAAAATTTTCATGATGTCTCATGTGACAGCTTCCATTCTTCTTTGTTTTCGGTTATATTTACATTATGAGCATGTAAGTTTATGTGATTATGTAAGGAGTATAGTCGTGCAAAACATGACTAATTGATTTAGGATAGGAAATAAGAGAAGAATGGAATGTAATATGAAGAAGATGAGGACTTGTTTGTCATAACTTCTGTTTAATAATTAAGAGTATTTTCATGATAAGAACCTTAGTTCAATATTAATTGATTTCTGAAACATGACAAGGCTCTTAACATTATTATAAGAATTTGAGTGTGCTTTACTTCTTTAAAGTTGAGGGGATTTTACATGAATTTATAATTGGATACCTTGTTGGTGAATATTATTGAACAAGAAATGACTTTGGACATTGGAATTTATTGCTAAGATTTTATAAGCATTTTCAAAATATATTTTCTAAAGTCACTTTTTTAAATTCGTTACGAATTCAAACTTTTATTTATTTTTTGTTTTTATAGTTCTTAAAAAATTCAAAGATTTTATTTACAATTTCAGCAAATGTTTTAAAAATCCAAAAATATCAAAAAAGTTCAAAATCTGTTTTGTAAAAATTTGAAAACTGTTCAAAAATTCAAAAATTGCTTAAAAATTCAAAAATTATTTAAACGTTCAAAATTGATTCGAAAATTCAAAAATTGTTTAAAGGTTTAAAAATTAAAAGTTTAAAATTTTAAAAAAAAATATAAAAAAATTAGAAAAAAACTTAAACCTCAAAAAATCGAAAAACTTTTGAAAAAACTTAAAAACCTTGAAAATCCAAAAATTGTTTAAAATTAAAAAATTATTTGAAAGTTTAAAAACATTGAAAATTGAAAACCTACTTTTAAAAAGTATAGTTTGTAAACTTTGAAGATTCCAAACAAAATCCTAACCTTTAAAAAAATTCACATCAAAGCCATTTAATCCAACATGATCACATACGATTACCAAACCACTTATTCAACTCCATTGAAACTTTTCCAAAAAAAAAACTTTTTCCTTCCAAACACCTCAACACAACACAAAAAAAAACTTTGGACACCGCAAGCCCAACAAAATAAAGCAACAAAAAAATATTCATAAAAATTTTCCTTCTCTGCCTCAATTTACATTCAATAAATATACACATAAACTCACGTATACAAACAGTAGATGATATCATAATGATATTGCGCCACACATTTTCTAATAAACTTCTTTCCAACTTGCTCGTTTTCTTCCTCTTTTTTCACTCTCTCGTTTCTATTTTCTTACACTTACATCTCCACCTTCAGCAAACAAACAACTTTTGGCAAACGCAAAAATTAATTTATTTTCGGTTAATTGAATTAGGCAATACGATAAAAAAAGAAGGCAAAAAGGAAGAAGATGGAAAAAAAACTGTAGGATGTAGGAAATGAGTTAGGTGAGAAATGGAAGGTGATGTTGAATGGTGAGTGAGAAATTACATTAAATATTTAATCTAAATATTCTAGAAAGTTTTTTATTTGTTGGAAAAACATTTCACTTTTGAATTTATGAAGGAAATTGTTTTGGAAAAATAGCGTGGAGAGCAGAGGTCGAAGCTGACATGAGTTCGCTTCAGTTCCCTAAAAAACCGATTCAAATTTTAATAGAATTTTTTTTTCTGCTGCCACTTGTGAAGTATAACATTTTATACAAATTTACCGGTTATTGAATCGGTTTCGACCTCTGGTGAAGAGTCATTCGTCAGTTAAGGACAGTGTTTCTCAAACTTTTCGGTCCACGACACATAAAAATATTTCCGGCCAATAGATTGAGCACCACTGGCTCAAGAAGAAATTGATTTCGTTATAATAATAGAACACTGTTGGGAATGGAACCAGAGTTTTCATGATAGATTGTTTCAGATACCCAATCTGTTGTCTAGCCACTCGGTCACAGATGCCTTACTATTGCAATGGCAAACTGACCTACATAAGGTTCTATACCCTAGAATCCACTCTTGAGTACCACACCATACATTTATCAGATATTTCAGCTCAATCTTAAATCCTACAGCTAACACTTTGTGGTCATTCAATGTTCATTGCTTTAATGTTCCTTTAAATTTGCTTGAAATTGTATAAATTACTACAAACTTAATGAAATGAAAATTTTTAAAGAATGTAGACAACACGTTTGTACCTTAAAGAAATCCAACGCCAAGACACAATTGCTCTCCACAAAAGTTTGTAATTTCATAAAATATTTATAAAGCTCGTGCATATCAAAAGCTCTTAACGGTATGAATAAGCATGAGAACAAAGAGAATTGAGATGAAAAATTAAAAAGAAAGAAATTTAGTGAGTTGCATGGGGAAATTTGATAGATTAAAAGATTTTTTCATGCTTCCGAAAGAGATTTGCTTTTCATTTTAATTATACAAGAAACTTTCCACAAGTTGAATGTTGAAAAATTATTGCATGGAATTAAGTAAAAGTTTTTTTTTTCGGAAATAAGATTCATAAATTTTGATGTTTATTGAATAGTTTATAAGACTCTGAAGAATAGTTTGCTGTTGAATAGTTCAACTTCCTGCATCATCATCGTCATGATGATGGAAAATTAATTTTTCTTTATT